TAAATTATATAGTAGCCCCTCAGGTTTGAGGTCTATTGCAATATTATACAACATCTTTAAAACTTTTCACTTTCATACCTCAAGTACTATTTTATTTCAATTTCATACAACCGTTACATTTTCCATCCATGGATCTATTAAATGCTGACGTGGCTGCCACATATAAGCCATGTGGCTGCCAAATGTCTGCCACGTGGTAAATAAAATAATTTTTTAATTTTTTTTTAAAAACCTGAAATTGGAAGAAGAAGAAACAAAAAAAAGGACCGAACCCCCTGCAACCCAGAAGAAGGAGGAAGAAGAAGAAGAGAAGAAGAAAGAGGAGGAGGAGGAAGAAGAAGAAAGAGGAGGAGGAGGAGGAAGAAGAAGAAAAAAAAAAAAAGAATGGACCGAACCCCCTGCAACCCATAAGAAGAAGGAGGAAGAAGAAGAAGAGAAGAAGAAAGAGGAGGAGGAAGAAGAAGAAGAAGAAAAAAAAAAATGGACCGAACCCAGAAGAAGAAGGAGGAAGAAGAAGAAGAGAAAAAGAAAGAGGAGGAAGAGAAGAAGAAAGAGGAGGAGGAAGAAGAAGAAGAAGAAAAAAATAAAAAAGAAGGGACCGAACCAGAAGGAGGAAGAAGAAGAAGAAGAAAAAAAAAAAGAATGATCGAACCCCCTGCAACCCAGGAGAAGGAGGAAAGAAGAAGAGAAGAAGGAGGAGGAGGATGAGGAAGAAGAAGAAGAAGAAAAAAAAAAAAAAAAAAAGGGACCGAACCCAGAAGAAGAAAGAGAAAAAAAAAAAAAAGATATGTGGCAGACAGTTTTTTTCTATATAAAAATAAAAAATTATTTTATTTGCCACGTGGCAGACATTTGGCAGCCACGTGGCATATATGTGGCAGCCACGTCAGCAGTTAACAGATCCATGGATGGAAAATGTAACGGTTGTATAAAATTGAAATAAAATAGTACTTGAGGTATGAAAGTGAAATGTTTTAAAGATGTTGTATAAGATTGCAATAGACCTCAAACCTGAGGGGCTACTATGTAATTTACCCTAATAATTTCCTAGTTTGGATGCCTTATTCAGACCTACTTTAGGCACGGAATCACTACAAAATGTACTTAATTTAGTATGTTGGTTCGGGATATAATTAATCGTACTATGAGGGTGGAGTTTAGGGCCACTACTCGGATGATTTTTGGATCGCCCTTCTGATTATTACCTCGAATGGCCAAAGCTTAGGGTTAAGTGTGTAGCCCCCAACCTTTAGGTTGCATAAGAGCCATGTCCTAATTTCAGCAGTCCACCTAACATAACCATGCTTAATATGGCTCGAGCCTCCCAAGCTACTAACTAGAACATAACATAATGAGCTATAGGAGACTCTTTTAACAATAACACTTTCAATTTTTTATTCTTGAACTCTTGCATAGTTTTCAAAGTGGTGTGACATGTGGGATGTTAGGGTATTCCCTGTACAGCAAAAAGATAAAAACAAATAAAAGTCATGCAACAATCAAACTATATTCTAATTATAAAATAAGGTTTGATGAAGGATGTGATTGAATCTGTGTTGGAGTGCCTATATATCTCTAGACTTGGAGAATCAAATTATAGGTGTAATTCTATGAAAAGATGATACAATGTGTGTTTACATCAGGATTCATCTTTGATGAATGTACGTACCTTGACTTAAGCAAGCTTTAGAGGTACTTCTCCATATCTACGCGTAGATGGACATCATTGAAATTCTTTGCAGTTGAATCTGTGATGGATGGCCTACATATCAACTCATGTCAAAGAAGAATCAAACCACGTGTAGTTCGTTGGAGGTTCTTAGTAATACCACCGGAGCTTGGCTATATTCCATCTCTTGGTGATAGGATGTTCTGCCTCAATCCCAAGATACATCCAAGATCAACACGTGACGTTAACATGTACCCGTTCCTCTATCATTGGTCGCCTCCGAGGCATGGTCAAAACATAGTCAATAGTTCAACATTGAAGTAACTTTTCTCTTCTATCATGGTTGTATCTAACCTTTGTGTTAGACTGACTACATGCCCTAAGACATGAACAAGTCATTCGTAGTTCACAATATAATCCATCAACAACATAAAATTTCCATGAACCAACGATGCACAACATTAATCTTTAACCACATTGATCAACCAATTGGATCAAAATCATTTATTAAATCGTACTTTATAAAATTATAAATAAACTACCTGGAAATCTCGAAGTAATCATACAGACATCCATCATCCTTTCTAAATCAATTAATAATGATTCTCAATCTTTTGTTTATAAACATGTTGAAAACTAGGGTTAGAGCCACACAGTTTAATTGAAGCCTATAACTCCTATGTTCTTACATTCTAGACCGACACAAAGGAGCCGTAAAGATTTCTCGGGATTTAATTCCAAACCAACTCAATAGAAATGAATAGCAAAAGGGATTCGGACCATTCAACTGAATCCAGACGAAACAGGGTATTAGACCACTTAACAAAACCCTAGCAAAACACGATTTTGGACCACTTAACGGAACTGACACTAGAATGAATTACAAATCACTCAAAGGAATCCAAACAAAATACAATCCCATACCACTCAATGGAATAGAAATGAACCAGGGTATCTGGACCACACAACGGAACCCCAACAGGACACGGTTTTGTACCACAATCAACTGAATCGACACGAGAAGGGATTCTAGACCACTGAATGGAACCCAAACAAAACTCGACTCCAGACCACTAAAAAAAAATTGAGACAAAGTAGGGTATCTAGACCACTCAACGGAGCCCTAACGGGACACTGTTTCAGACTGCTCAACGAAATTAGCACAAGAAAAGGAAAGGAAACATGGTATCCGAATCACTGAACTGAAACCCAACAAGACACGATTTCGAACCACTCAACTGAATCGACATGAGAAGGAATTCTAGATCACTTAATGGAATCCAAACATAACATGATTTTGAACCACTTAACGGCATCTAGAAGAAGCAGGGTATCCAGATTACTCAACGAAACCCCATCTGAACACGATTCTGGACCATTCAGCAAAACTAACACGAGAAGGGATTCTGGACGACTCAATGAAATTAGAACATAACATAATTCCTGTTGTACTAGGGGTTATGGTCAATGTTTAATTCCTTGTAGCTTGTTTCTTAAACCCCAGGTTGTGGTTGCTTTACAATCTTCTCCTCAAAGTAATGGCGCTTTGTTCTCCCTTTTATGCTTTCCAGCGACCTTGGTGACAACCCTGTTAGGGAGTTGATTCCAAGCATCTATCAGAGCAGTCTTAAGGTTATTACGGTTCAGCGGTCCACGCCGCATTTGGTCTTCAGAGGACTTTGGATCGTCGAAGTCGAGATGCCTAGGCTTTACACAAGAAGCTCTTACAGTGTCTAAGGGATCAAGATTGCGCTGAACTCAGATCCCACCTGAGTGGTATGACTAACAATCCCACCATCATGTCGTTCCAGTGTGGGTTCAAATCTGTAATTTACGCTGGGGTCAGAACAAGGGTCATCACTATAGATTGTCCATCCGGAATTATGGTATTTAGGTTTCCAAGTCCGAAGATAGGGACTTGGGTTTGCGAAGTAGTTCCGTGAGCGTTCTCCAGGGCTTTCATGTGCCTTTTGAAGTCACAAAATTCGAACGGTTCTCCTCCTGAGAAGCCCACGAAATCTTTTAAAGATCGTTGATAGAGGTTTTGATCTTCATCAAAATCTCCCATATTTGGTCCATGGTTGGATGAACTCTGCTAGCAAGTGAATTGTTGTTTCCCAGAACGACAGAGGCTTTAGGAAGTTCATTGCTTCCTACTAGGGTGTTGGTGTCAGCATTAACAAAGCTATCTTTAGCAGAAATGGTGTGGCAGAGTGATTTGGTAAGGGGAACATGGTTTTGCTCTTAATGAAAGCACCAATTATTGGAACCAAAACTATCGTGATTAACCAAGGTACCAATGTGGTACTAGCTAAAGACTCTCCGATTGTCAAGTTAGTAAGATATATTAAGACTCAAGCAATGGGTGAGAGAATATAAAGTATGCCTAGTTTGCGTTACCAGATATATTCCCTAGATAAGGGTATTTATACTAGTTGAGAGAGAAACATTTTAGGGTAGTGCATTTGTATTAAACCGAAAGAATCCAAGAGGATATCTAGGACTAAATATTGTTTTCTCTTAGGAGTGTGATTACTTGTGACGCATGTCAATCCCTAGATCGTAGGAACCTCCAAGAATATAGGAAATTCGTATGATTCTAATCGAATCAGGTTTCCGTGTCTTGCGGGACCAAGAATCTCAGGTAAAGTCGGCGGACTTTGCCTACCTTTCCTGAGTTCAGCAAGATGTGGTGGCATCACTTGTACAAAAAGAAAATACTAGAGCATTTTTACACATGTATCTTGAATGATTTTCGCACACTAAGCCTCTTACATGCTCCTTTTTGTTTTTTGCCAAAAAATAATATAAAAACAAGAGCCAAAATTAAACAGAAGTGTCTAAAAAGCTAAAAAGAAAGGGAACTTTAACGAAAAGCACCCGGTACTGTTCACTTTAACGAAAAACCATATTTTTACACTAAAAAGTCAATCCTGGTACTATTCACTTTACCCTTTATTTTGTCCTTATCATTAAAACTCAAAGTTTTCAAGTCATTTTCATTAGTTTCCTATGTAATGTATGGAACTCTACTTCCGACCGTTTCATGATAAAAGAAAAGGGAATACTTTCGCATTTTTTTTTTTTAATTAGCCTTGTGAAGTTTGAACCTTTAAAGCTCAATATGGTCACCGAATCTTCAAAAGAACTTCCCCTGTAAGCTAAACTGTGAACAGCGAATACGAATTTCACTTTTTTTACGTTAAAAGGGAATACTTCTGTGTTTACCCTATAATTTCCATCTCTTTCTTGTAATGTATGGAAAGGCTTACTTCCTTTTTTTCTGTTTTCCTGAAACTGATCTTATCAACTTTTCTCTCCATTGAAGTAGGTTTTGGAAGTGAATGAATGAGTGAGACAATGTCTGCTTCCGACCGTTTCATGGATACTGTGTTTTCTTGGTCACTTGAAGACATTTTCAATGAGAAACTGTACATAAACCAGGTTTTTTCTTCCACTGTTAGTATTAAATTTCATTTTGTTAGATTTATCTTGTTTTTCTTCAAATTTTGATGAGATTGCTACTGCAGCTTTTGTTTTATTTTGTATCTTTGGGAATGCTTAAGATGTTTAGACCCAAAAAATTAAAACTTTATACTACCTTGAGCAATAATTCAAGTTTTTTCTTTACTTTGTGTGTGTTCACCCTACACCGCGCGTTCGGTTTTCACTTCCCCCATTATCTTTGTGTGTGTGTGCGTGTGTAATATCTTCAGCCTCTATTACCATATAAGTTTACTTGTAATATGCAGTCCATGATGCACGAATACTTCTGTTTGGTCCCGTATTCCGTATCCGATACTTGATCGGATACGATACTTGTCCGATACTCTCGAATACTCATGCGACACGTATCCTGGTTGATGAACACGAATTTGACATGATGGACACGAGTATCCGGCTTTTAGGTTACATTTACACTTTCAAAAAAGGTAATGAGGAAGAGAAAATTAATAGGAGACATCTATAATTGAAAGTTGATGAATACAAAGAGCTTCTCTCTAATTAAAACCATGAATACGACTCGCACACTTCTTCTATTGTATAAAGAGGATTAGATTTCGAACTTTTCTTATCTAACAGCTCAAATGTACTTGAATTTGAATGATGAATTATGTTTCAAAATGTATATTTTTGTTGCTATATACATTTTTATTTGCCGTATCCATAGCGTATTGTATTGTATCTTACTTTTTAGAGATTTTCCGTATCGCCATGTCGTGTCTTATCGTATCGTCGTATCCGTATCCATATCAATGCTTCACAGTATGCAGTCTTAAGCTAGTGGTACTCAACCACTAGAGTTGGTTAAGTAAATATTTATGCGGTGGCTAAAGCACTCGCTTCCAACGACTGTGAATGCAATATATTTGAGCTTCTACAGTTTCCTCATGCAATGTCATCATCTGTAGATTTATCAACAAACTTATTCTGAACTTGTACTTTTCTAGGTGGAAAAGATTCCTAAATCATTTGATTCAGTTGGGCGTTATTTTGGGTCCTATTCATTTCCCTTATTAGAGGAAACTCGTGCACATGTGCAGTCGAGTATGGAAACTATTGACAGAGCACCATTTGCTAAAGTAATTGCTTTTGAAGAATCCGAGTCCAATTTAGATGATACAAGGACATATAGTATCATGGTTGATAAGTGGCAAAACAGGCAAAGAGAACGTGGAAAGGAACCATACAAAACTTTGCCTGGGGATCTTTTTGTCTTAGCAGATGCGAAACCCGAAACTGATTCTGATTTACGACGGGCAGGGAGGTGGTGGACTTTTGTATCAGTCACTAAGATCACCGAAAATAAAATAGAAGATGATATTAATGATGAGAAAATAGAGACTGAAATAAAAGAGTTTAAAGTCAAGGCATCAAAAAGGATTGAGGTCAAGGATAACATGAGCACTCCGCCATCACTATTTGTTGTTTTACTTGTGAATTTGATCACTAATCGCAGAATATGGGAAGCATTGCACATGTTCAGAAATCTGAAGATTATCAAGGATGTTCTGTGCACTGATTCTGTGGTAAGACCTTAAGTTCTGTGCATTGCATTCACTGAAATGGGACCTATTCATGGTATGTGAAAACATGATGCAAGATGTAATGTACTGCACTCTACACACTACACAAAATACTCAGAGACGTAACTTTACAGTGTATAGTACACTAATAATTTTGATACAAGCATGATGATTTTTCTTTCTTTTTTATCTTTCGATCAAAGTTTCTGTCATGTGTATATGTGTACTACTCCAATAGTGTACTCTGGATTCTATGGTCCCTCTCGTTCTCCCATCCACTATTCCACATTCAGTTTGATCGAATAATTTGTGTTACTATATTTCAACACTGTCATTTATTGTTGGATTTGATTAAATATCTTATGCTTGGCAACAGGCTCAGAAAAACTACCCTCCCTCATATGAAATGGATGCTGACATTCGGGATAAGGTGATAGTTGAGAGTTCATCTTTTGGATTGAATGAGTCACAAACTGGGGCAGTTTTGGCCTGTCTTGAAATGTTGTTTTGTGATTCCAAGTCAACTTTGCAACTTATATGGGGTCCACCTGGGACAGGGAAAACTAAATCCACCGCTACTCTGCTGTTGACCCTGTTAAGGATGAATTGTAGGACTCTTGCTTGTGCCCCAACAAATTTTGCAGTAACTGAAGTAGCTTCCCATCTTGTAGAGATGGTGGCTAAAGCAGATTCCAATGATTGGTTTTATCCTCTGGGAAAAATTCTTTTATTTGGGAATAAAGAGGGACTCAAAGTTGGTTCTGATATTGAAGATATATATTTGGATCACCGTGTCGAAAGTCTTTTCGAGTGCCTGGGGCCGGTGACAGGTTGGAGTAGTTGCTCGTCTTCCATGATTAGGCTTCTTGAGGATTGCGTTTCACATTACCATATTTTCTTGAAAAATGAGTTCGCCAACGAGAAAAAACAAAATGGTGATGGTGAAATGATAGAGAAAGGATGTGGAAGAGAGACCGAAGTTAGCAAGGGCAAGTGCAAATCATTTCTTGAATTTTTCAGAGAGAGATTTGTGTCTACTGCATTACCCTTAAAATGTTGTATTTCTACCTTCTGTACCCATATAAGCCAAGATTACATTTCGGCACGTATTTTCCATGACATGATTTCGCTTTTTGGGTTAGTTGATTCCTTTAGAATACTATTGTTGCAAGGTAATGTTGATTCTGAAGCACTGGAAGAGCTTTTCTCTCGTTCAGAAGTTGAAGATGTGCTCGAGCCAGTAGACAACAACACATTTCATCTGTGCATGAAGAGAAGAGAGTGCCTTTCAGTTTTACGTACTCTTCAGAAATCGATTAGAAGACTTTACCTCCCAGATGTTAGGAACAAAAAATCTGTAATGGAGTTTTGTTTTCAAAGAGCTTCCTTAATATTTTGCACTGCATCTAGTTCGTTTAAGCTGCATAGAGTGAAATTGGAGCCACTGACCATTGTTGTTATTGATGAGGCTGCACAACTGAAAGAGTGCGAGTCAACGATACCCCTGCAACTTCCAGGTGTGAAGCATGCCGTTCTTGTTGGTGATAAGTGTCAGTTACCAGCTATGGTGAAAAGCAATGTACGTTGATGCTTACTTGGTTATATTTATTTAATCATTTCTCTTATAGCAATTTTTCTTTCGACTTATTCTTTCTTCCTTAGGTGTCCTATAAAGCTGGTTTTGGAAGAAGCTTGTTCGAGAGGTTGAGCTCAATGGGTCACTCTAAACACCTTCTGAACACGCAATACAGAATGCATCCTTCAATAAGTTCCTTCCCAAATTCAAGGTTCTACAATAACCAGATCCTGGACGCTCCAAATGTTAAAAGAAGAAGCCATGAAACGCTATCTTCCAGGGCCAATGTTCGGTCCTTATTCTTTTATTAATGTAATTGATGGAAGAGAGGAGAAGGACGAGGACGAACATAGTCTAAAGAACATGGTAGAGGTTGCAATTGCTTTGAAAATACTGCAGAATTTGTACGAAAGTATGTCTAACCAGGGAGCCAGGGAGCCATGCTCATGTTCTAAATTCAATATTTTCGATTATGTTATTTTCTGGATGTTTGATTGTATGCTTGTAATGTTTATTTGTTCTCATTTATTATATTTTTTGTAAAGGCCAATTACTTCTTGGTTTGGATAAGACTGAAATTTTTCTCTTGTATTTCCCTTTGTAAACAGGATGGGTTGTTTCAAAAGAGAAGCTCAGTATTGGTGTAATATCTCCTTATGCAGCTCAAGTAGCTGCAATTCAGGAAAAACTTGGACAGAAGTACGATAAGCGTGATGGCTTTAAAGTGAAGGTGAAGACAGTTGATGGGTTCCAGGGTGGTGAAGAGGACATAATCATCATGTCCACTGTGCGATCCAATCAACATCACTCACTCGGTTTTATATCGGAACCACAAAGAGTTAATGTTGCTCTCACTAGGGCTCGGTATGGTTCTATGTAAACTTGTATGCTTTTGCATCGTCTTTACTCGTTGGTAAGGGTGTAAATAACTACTGGTCTTCTAATGAATTCAGGCACTGCCTTTGGATTTTGGGAAATGAGAGAACTCTTTGTGGTAGCGAATCTGTTTGGGAGGCTTTGGTGCTTGATGCCAAGAGTCGGCAGTGTTTCTTTAATGCTGATGCAGACAAGGATATGGCCAAGGCCATATTAGAGGCGAAGAAAGCATTTCACCAATTTGATGATTTGCTTAATGCTGACAGCTTACTTTTCCGAAGTTGTAGATGGAAGGTAAAGCTCTGGGCTTTTATTTATGATTGAGTTGCTTTCTAGTTTTACCCAGTTTATTTCCAAGAAATCTCTATAGTCGAAAATATGTATTCTTGTACTGGACTTTCTGGTTACTTAAATATTTTCTATGTTTATTTTTATGATCTTCTCTCCTCCCAATCTATTATCTTTAGGTACTTTTGAGTGGTAATTTTCTGGAGTCGTTCAGAAAACTTAAGTCGATTCAGTTGAAGAAGTCCGTGATAAATCTTCTACTGAAGCTTGCCGGTGGATGGAGACCTAAAAAGATAAATGTCCAGACTATTTCTGGCTCATCATCATTCTTGAGGCAATATAAAGTTAGAGGTCTATATGTTGTTTGCGCAATCGACATTGCAAAGGAGTTGGAATACACTCAAGTGTTAAGGATTTGGGACATATTGCCTCTAGAGTACATCCCAAAATTGATAAATCGTTTGGATAGGATTTTCAAGAGATATACAGATGACTTTATCAATCTCTGCAATGAGAAATGTCTTGAGGGGTATGTTTTCTGCATTCTTTTTTTTTTTTTTTTTTTTTTTTTTTTGGGCTGAACGTGCCTGAATTGTTAATTGTGATTGCTTTCTTTATGGAAGATACAAAATTTTCTCAATCTTTTGAAATTCTGAAGTAATTTTTATTTTGTTTGTCATTTGTGATCAGTAACTTGGAAGTTCCAAAGTGCTGGCCGACCTCTTTGGATGTGCCTCAGTTTAAGGATCTTAGTGCCACTGAAATCGATAGTGATTTTGTTAGTGATGCTTCTGATGGTAGAAGTTATGTTGAGAATTCACAGGTCAGCGAGAGTTTGTTGCTCATGAAGTTTTACGCCTTGTCATCTGGTGTAGTGAATCACTTGCTGTCTGATCGTGAGGGTAAAGAGTTGGATCTTCCATTTGAAGTAACTGACCAGGAAATGGACATTATCCTTTATCGTAAAAGTACCTTTATAGTTGGACGATCAGGAACAGGTAAGACAACTGTTTTAACCATGAAATTATTTCAAAACGAACGATGTCACCATTTGGCACATAAAGGATGCGTTAGAAGTTCAAATAGCATGGTTGAGCCGAGTTCTTCGGCTACTCAGGAGAGAACTCTACACCAGCTGTTTGTTACCGTGAGTCCTCAGCTATGTTTTGCCATAAAACAACATGTTCTACACTTGAAAAGGTGTGTATATTATTCAATGAAGAAAAATTTTACTGCTTTTTTGAAATGTTTTGTAAATTTCAAACATCACTTCGGCCACCTTAAGTTACTAACTTTTGTACGTCTACAGATTTGCATGTGGTGGAAGTGATTCAACGGAGAAAATTTTGATTGATATGGCTGATTTTGATGAGGAGGAATTTCAATTCAAGGACATCAAGGATTCGTTTCAGGATATTCCTCCCGATTCTTACCCTCTTGTAATAACATTTCATAAGTTCTTGATGATGCTGGATGGAACACTGACTAACTCATACTTTGAAAGATTCCTTGATGCAACAACGCTAACTCACGGTCAATTGAGAAGCTCAAGATCAGTTGCATTGCAAACCTTCATCAGGACAAAGGAGGTTAATTATGAGAGGTTCAGTTCATCTTACTGGCCCCATTTTAGTATGCAGTTAACAAAGAAGCTTGATGCTTCAAGAATCTTTACGGAGATTATATCTCATATTAAAGGTGGTTTAGCAGCCATAGAAGCAGGTGATGGCAAACTCAGTAGGGAGGATTATGTTCAACTGTCAGATGGCCGGGATTCCAATTTAAGCAAGCAAAAGAGAGAAGTAATATACGATATATTTCAGGCTTATGAAAAAATGAAGTTGAAGAATGGTGAATTTGATTTGGCTGATTTTGTCATTGATCTACACCATCGGATTAGGCACGAAAAATTTGTGGGTGATCAAATGGATTTTGTTTATATTGATGAAGTTCAAGATCTCACCATTAGCCAAATTGCGTTGTTTAAGCATATGTGCAACAATGTCGAAGAGGGTTTTGTTTTTTCCGGTGATACGGCACAGACCATTGCCAGGGGAATTGATTTTAGGTTCCAAGATATAAGACATCTGTTCTACAAGAAGTTTGTGTTGGAATCAAGAGGCAATAAGCATCAGGAAAGAAAAGAAAAGGGACAAATCTCAGAAACATTTCACTTGACTCAAAACTTCCGTACGCATGCTGGCGTTCTGAAATTATCACAGAGCATTGTTGAACTACTTTATTGTTTTTTCCCTCTATATATTGACATTTTAAGGCCTGAAACCAGTCTGATATATGGGGAAGCTCCAGTACTGCTTGAATCCGGAGAAGATGAAAATCCAATCATCAGAATTTTTGGAAATAGTGGAACTCATAATTCTAACATAGTTGGCTTCGGAGCTGAGCAAGTTATTTTGGTCCGTGATGTTGGTGCTCAAAAAGAAATTTTGAAAATCGTTGGGAAGCATGCTCTTGTCCTAACCATATTGGAATGCAAGGGGCTTGAATTCCAGGTGATTGATAGCAATTTTCATCTCTCTTTTGTTAATTATGATATTTTCATGCATTGGATCCTGTATATGTTTCTAAATTTGTACTTTCTTTTGATTCGTATCGTTTATGTCTTGTCTGCAGGATGTACTCTTGTACAACTTTTTTGGATCATCGCCCCTAAAAATCAATGGAGGGTGATATATGAGTACATGAAGGAGCAAGATTTACTTGACTCTACATTGCCACAACGATTTCCAAGTTTCAGTGAAGCTAAACACAACATCTTATGCTCTGAACTGAAACAATTATATGTTGCTGTTACTCGGACAAGACAAAGATTATGGTTTTGCGAGAATGTAGAAGAGCTCTCCAAGCCCATGTTTGACTATTGGAAGAAGAAATGTCTTGTACAGGTTAGACAACTGGACGATTCCCTTGTGCAGGCAATGCAAGCTGCTAGTAGTCCTGCGGCGTGGAAATCACGAGGCATTAAGGTTTGCATTATTTACTCTATAATAGTCAAGAGGAACTAATAATTGTTGTAGTAGACATGTAAATATATTTGATTTGTTATCATCATCATCGTCATTAGATTCCCACTGCTAAAATAATTTATTAATGTTGTAACAGTAACACCGTTTTCTAAGTAATATTTACGAAATCATTTTTGCTTTCTTGCAGCTCTATCATGAACATAACTACGAAAAGGCCACAAAGTGCTTTGAAAAAGCTGGTGATACTTATTGGGAAGGGAAGTCCAAAGCTGCTGGCCTTAAAGCTATCGCTGAGCGAATGCCGACTTCAAATCCTGCGGAGGCCAATACCATTCTTAAGGAAGCTGCTGAGATATATGATGCTATAGGCATGGCAGATTCCGCAGTTAGATGTTTTATTGATTTGGGAGAGTATGAAAGAGCAGGTAAGACTCTTTAACAGCTGTTAATTTTAGCTTTCCAGAATTTATATTATAGTGAAATTGCGATAGCACTCTGATACAATTTAGTTTACTATTTGTTACAATTTGGTTTACTATTTGTGTTGAAAAGTAAATTGCTTACTAATTTCAAGTTAGTAAATGATTTACTTATCTATTTTATCTTTGTTCTATTGAGTAGCTGTTTTATGATGTGATAACTTGTGCTCATATGCCAAGTGTATGGTCTTAGATCAGGACTCTTTTTCAATGGCTCATATGCTTTGTTCTGCCATGTGTCAAAATCACATTGGCTCATGTAATTGAACGGTTATGATGTCTGATGTAAAAGAAAGGAATGAATATGAATGAAATGTTGCTCTCTGCAGTGTAGTAGAGTTGCAGTTGTGAAAAACCTGGTTTCTCACTCTCTCTGTCTTTTCAGCTCCCTCTAAAATCCAATTCCTGTATATATCAGCTTACTAAAATCTTAACATGGTATCTAGAGCTCAGGTTCTATCTGGAATCGGGGTGTAAGATCTGTGAGTGCTGTGCTCGGAAATCCAACGTGAAATTTCCGACTCAGTTTGTCGATTCAAGTCTCAAATGGCTGGATCTGGTGGTAGTGATCTTCGGGCTCCAATATTCAATGGTGACAACTATGAATTTTGGAAGATTCGAATGAGAACTATTTTCAAATCACATGGAATCTAGGATTTAGTTGAAAAGGGGTTTGAAATTTCATAATCGAAGGATAAGAAGATTGGAGATGAAGGCTCATCAGAGTCGGAGAGAGTTTCTCTGCGCGACAAGCTAATGAAGGATGCTAAGGCACTGGGTATAATCCAAGGAGCTGTCTCGGATGACATCTTTCCCAGAATCTCAAACGAAGAGACCTCAAAGGGTGCTTGGGATATCCTACATCAGGAATTTCATGGTGATAAGCAAGTGAGATCCATCAAGTTGCAGGGTCTACGCCGTGATTTCGAGTACACAAGGATGAGGGATGATGAAACTCTGTCTATGTATCTCACTCGTCTTCTCGAGTTGGTAAATCAGATGAAGGGTTATGGGGAAGATTTACCCAGAAAGCGATTAGTTCAGAAATTGCTCATAAGCTTAACTAAGGAGTTTGATCCTGTTTGTTATGTAATTGAACAAACTAAGGATATTGAAACTATTGAGGTACAAGAGGTGATTGCAGCATTAAGAGGGTTTGCACAACGCCTTGATAGGCATGCTGAGAGTACCATTGAAAGAGCTTTCAGTACTCTGAATCTGAATTCGAAAGGAACCCAACCAAATCTCTCGTTTGGTAATTCTAAACCAAAGAAGGATTGGAAATCAAAAGGAAAGAAATGGGATCCTAAACCTCAGAATCTTGCTAATCGAGGTGGCAAATATGATCAAGGAGGAAAATCTGATCAGTCTAAGGGAAAATGCAAGCATTGTGATAAACTGCACTATGGTGAGTGCTGGTTTAAAGGGAAGCCGAAATGTCATGGATGCAATCGTTTCGGTCATTTCATCAAGGATTGTGATCAACCAAACAAGTCTGGAAAACTTGTAAACTATGCGAATCAGGTAACAGAATCTGCAACCATGTTTTATGCCTGCCATTCTGCTACTATTGGAAGAAGTATGAATATATGGTATGTAGATAGTGCATGTAGCAATCATATGACCTCCCATGAATCCTTGCTTATTGATGTTGATAAGAATGTGAAGTGTAGAGTTAAAATGGGCATTGGAGATTTAGTGCAGTCAATAGGCAAAGGCACATTGGTGATTGAGATGAAAGGTGTGACTAGGTATATTAAAGAAGTTATGATTGTACCTGGATTGGATGAAAACTTATTGAGTGTAGGGCAGATGGTAGAACATGGACATTGGCTTGTGTTTGGTGATTACATGGTTGATATTTATGGAGATAGACAAATGGAAGATCTGATTGCAAGTGTTCCAATGAAAGGAAACAGATGCTTTCCATTAAGTTTGGAATATGTTAATCCTTACATGGCTAATAAAGCAACTGTTGAAGAGTCATCTCAGTTGTGGCATAGAAGATATGGACATCTAAACTACATTAGTTTGATGCTTCTGCAAGAGAAGGAAATGGTGCAGGGCTTACCTAGACTACAAGTCTCTGAGCATGTTTGCTCCGGATGTGCTACAGGAAAGGGTCACAGGGAATCATTTGACAAGGGAAAAGTTTGGAGGGCATCACAACCTCTAGAACTTATTCATTCTGATATATGCGGCCCAATGCAGATAACTACTCTAGGATGCAACAAATTCTTTCTCACATTTATTGATGACCACACTAGGATGTGTTAGGTATTTTTCTTGCAACACAAGTCTCAAGTCTTCAACATTTTCAAAAGGTTTAAATCCATGGTTGAGCTACAGAGTGGCTATCAAATCAAGAAACTCAGAAGTGATAGGGGTGGAGAATATACATCTCTAGAGTTTTCAAGGTTCTGTGAAGATATGGGATTAGAAAGGCAATTGACTGTTGCCTATTCTCCGCAACAAAATGGTGTTGCAGAGAGAAACAATAGGACAATAATTGAAATGGCAAGAACTATGATGATTGAAAAGAAGATTCCCTTGAAATTTTGGGCTGAAGCTGTCAACACAGCTGTGTATCTGCAAAACCGATGTCCAACAAGTGCTCTGAACAACATAACTCCATTTGAGGCATTTAGTGGAAGGAAGCCAAGTGTCAAACATTTGAAGATATTTGGTTCCATGTGTTATATTCACATTCCTTCATAGAAAAGACACAAACTGGAGGAAACTGGTGAGAAGGGAGTATTCGTTGGATATAGAAATTGTGAAAAAGGATATAGAATCTTCAACTTGAGAACTCAAAAGGTTGAACTATCAAGAAGTGTAATCTTTGATGAGAAAGTAATATGGGACTGGGAAACAAATGAATCAATTCAAGTTCTTAGTCCTTGGAATGATGAAAGAAGCTCAAGGATATCTGAATTTGATCCAGATTCAAGTGATTCACCTCAGTCAATGCAGTCTCCTCTGAGATCACAATCAACTGGAGATTTGCAAGCATCTCAAGAACCTGGTTCACTTGGTTCTCCAGTTCCAATCTCTGGAAGTTATGATCATACTCCACAGAAATGGAAGAGTTTGAGTGAAGTATATGCTCAATGCAACATGAGCATCATTGAACCTGAAGATTTCAGTGAGGCAGTCAAAGATGATGCTTGGAAAAAGGCTATGACAGAAGAAATATTGATGATTGAAAAGAATTCCACTTGGGAATTAGTTGACAGACCTGGTAGTAAACCTGTTGTGGGTGTGAAGTGGATATACAAAACAAAGCTGAATCTTGATGGCTCCATTCAAAAACACAAGGCAAGACTTGTAGCCAAAGGTTACACACAGAAACCAGGGATTGATTTTAATGAAACCTTTGCTCCAGTGGCAAGGTTAGATACTATTAGAACACTCATTGCACTAGCTGCACAGAAAGGTTGGAAACTGTGGCAATTAGATGTTAAATCAGCCTTCCTGAATGGTGTTCTTGATGAGGAGGTATATGTTGATCAACCTGATGGTTTTGTGATTAAAGGGGCTGAAGACAAGGTTTATAGGCTGAGAAAGGCTCTCTATGGTCTAAAACAAACACCAAGGGCCTGGTACAGTGAAATAGACACATATTTAATTCACTGTGGATTTCACAAAAGCTCAAGTGAAGCAACTTTATATGTGAGAAGCAAGGAAGGTGTTGGTACCTTGATCATGTCAATCTATGTTGATGACATTGTGTACACAGGGAGCAATGCAGAAATGATGGAAGAATTCAAAGCTGAAATGATGTGCAAATATGAGATGTTAGATTTGGGTTTACTTCATCACTTTCTTGGAATGGGGGTAACTCAAACTGAAGGGAGTATATTTATACATCAGAAAAAATATGCTCTAACTCTTTTGGATAAATTTGGGCTCAAAGATTGCAAACCAGTGTGCACTCCATTGGTTGCAACTGATAAACTGAGAAGAGAAGATGGAAGTGAACCTGCAGATAAGTGTGAGTATAGGAAAATAGTTGGAAGTCTTCTGTATTTAACAGCAACTAGACCAGATATTATGTTCTCTGCTAGTGTACTTGCACGATTTATGCACAAGCCTACCAAGAAACATTATGGAGCTGCTAAACGAGTCCTAAGGTACATTCAAGGAATAATTGACTTTGGAATTGAATATTTGAATGGAAAATCTGCTTTGCTGATTGGATATTGATATAGTGACTGGAGTGGATCTGAGGAGGATATGAAAAGCACCTCAGGGTATGCTTTTTCATTTGGAAGTGGGGCATTCTCATGGGCTTCAGACTCAGGCCATTTGGCTTAGGTTTGTGCTCAAGGACTTTGGAGAAGAGCAAGCTGCAGCAACATCGCTA